TTTTTTTTTTTTTTTACAGGACTATGGAGTTAAATTGTTTTTGTATCGTACACAATACCTAGTTGATGTTGTCAACGAAAAGGTGGGTCGGGTTTTGAAACTTGACTCGATCCAAAATGGCAATGCCTGGAGAGGAATGGACATGCTGATTTTCAACACGTGGCATTGGTGGACCCACAATGGAAGAAGCAAACCGTAAGATATTTTTTATTGTTCAGTACTGAATTCTCTCAAATTTTTATTATTTATATTATCTGTCAAAATATACAATACATTTTATTTTATTCACGTAATTCTCTTAATAATATTTGAGGGATCATGTCAAATTAAGAAAATTGACGGAATCTAATAACAGAATGAGTCTCGATATATTTTTTTTATGGGCTATAATTTGAAAATAATTTTATGACGGAGGCATAATTCAATGAACTATATTGCAGATGGGATTACATGCAAGAAGGGGGCACATTGCATAAAGATATGAACCGCTTGATTGCTTACTATAAAGGGTTGACTACGTGGGCCAGATGGGTTAACATAAACGTTGATCCTTCCAAAACCAAAGTCTTCTTCCAAGGAATTTCTCCCACTCATTACGAGTAAGCAAATTCCCCTTTCCATCATTCTATTAATATAGTGTGTCTTCAAAGTAATATGTGGTCCAAACCCTATGACTCGCTTAAAAATGAAATTCTACACATGTTACACTCACTATGGTTCTGTAGACGACTACAAAATGAAACCAAAAAAAAAAAAGATGTCAAGTAATTGTGCTCCAGAATTGGACATGTTGATTTTCATACGCGAATCCTCTACCCATACATCAAAAAATGAAAATATAAGTATTATGAGCGTGTTGATGAGAGGTGTACTTACTTAATGATAGTTTGTTTCACCAGAGGCGGGGACTGGAATGAACCATCAAAATCATGCACTAGAGAGAGACAACCATTCTTCGGTTCAAGGTACCCCGCAGGCACACCTTTGGCTGCCATTGTCGTCAACAAAGTGTTGAGCAGGATCAAAAAGCCAGTGTATTTACTCGACATAACAACGCTCTCACAATATCGAAAGGATGCACACCCCACTTATTACAGTGGTGATCATCCCGGCTTGGACTGCAGCCACTGGTGTCTCCCCGGATTACCCGATACTTGGAACCAGCTCCTCTATGCAGCTCTCATTAGTTGATGAACGCTATTCTAATTTGTTCGTTCGAAAGAAAAAATCATTGTTTCGATGATACAAATTGTATTCCATTTTCTCATATGTAGGTAGCAATAAGGGCGTTGCTTCAATTGTAATGTAACTGATTATTTTGCCCAAAGTTACCTGGATTCAGAAACAAATATTGTAAAAGTGTCGGACGTTATACCGATATATCATTATTAATAGTCAAATTTGAAGTGTTTAGCATGAATTAATTTTGAATTTGCTAGATTCATTTTTATTGGGTCGGATTTTTTATTTTTTTATTCTTTTTTGTGGGTGAAGGGAGGGGGTCGATCGTAAGAGAAGAAGTGGTTCTTGCGAATTGCCTATGTGCCTAGATAAACCCCTTGAACCTGAGATCATTTCTTTCATGTATAAGAAACAAGTGGAACATCGAGTGATAATTTCTGATCAAAAAAACAAAACATCAAGTGACAAACTTAAAATTAATAAAACTTAACGATTAAATACGTAACCATTGAGAGTTTGAAGTTCGACTCTGAAAAGATTTAATCCAGAAATGCTAGTAGATTGAAATGTCCCTCCTCATGTAATAGCTTGACAAAAAATTTTATTGGGAACTTGAGTGGAACTAATATGAGTTTGATAGTGATATACTAAAAAGATAAGCAATATTAGAAAAATATTTGTTCCCATGCTGAGATATGATCACTTTGACTAAGGCGGGCTGATCTGATGACAGATGGCAACGCCCACTGATCTACCTTCGGGTAGGCCAAATCACAGGTGTACGCACCCGAATAGATGTAGACGCTGAATCACTCACTAGACTCTCCACAAGCCCAACACGTTGCATTAGTATTATGCACCACATGTTCAACCTCAACCTACTTGGATAAACTCAAACCGTCCCAGTCTCGGACACAGGTGTTTAAATCCTTCTTCCTCATCTACAAGAGCCTGGTAAAGACGGAAGTTCAGTAATGCTTGGACAAGAAGGAGGAGAGGCTGGTAAAGAAAGAACTACAGAGATGAATGAAAGAGAAGGTGCTAAGGAGGAGAGAGAAGGGCTTTCTTTGGAGGAAATCTCAAAGTACAGAGCGACTGCTCAGCAGAATTCCATGGAAGCCATTAGGGCTGCGGAAGAGAAGTACGCAAAGAATAAAGAATCAAGCGAGTCGGCGTTGCGAAACGAAAAGGAATCTGAAGGTCGTAGCCTTGGTGCTGGAACCGGTCGTGGTGCCGAGAAGGTTGCCCATGCAAAAGACTATTAGGTTTTAAACGTGTTTCGGTACATTTCAATGTAATGAGATGTGAATAAGAATAACGGGAATTTTTGGGAAATACTTTTTATCTCAAATGAATAAGAACCTTGAATGAGTGGTTCTATTGAAAAATGACCCAAATATTTCTACTGATTTGGTATGGTATTCAATTTAGGATCCTTCTTAATTTCTTGTGGACTTGTCTGATTGCCAAGTCCATCTGGGATTGGAAAAGGAACAGATTGTTGTAAAAATCTTGGGTACAGCTCTTCCAGGGGCGAAAATATTCATTGCAATGCCACATTATGTCATCACCGTATATGGCATGATCATCCAGTTAAAAGACAAGAAATAGGTAAAATAGATTTCACTAATTTTGTGTTACCGATGGATCTGGTTACTGATAGTTAAGAAAATATCTGGACGACACCATATACCGTGATGATGTGATGTCACCGTTTCATTGAATATTGACTCCTTCCGGTGGTGCTGCTTTCTTAAATGGTGAAACGTTAGTGGTTCTGTTTAGGGGAACAGCACCCCGCAGCACTGTAGAGGATCCTCGCCCAAAAATCTTTATGAATTGCAATATGAATTGGCTGTGTAAGGCAAAAATCCGTATCTGAAAAAATGGATATTGAAACTTAATATTTGAGCACTCAGAGTCTCTCCTCCTTACAAAACGAACAGGCAGTCAAAACAGTGAAACTGAAGGAAGACACTTTGATCTTTGAATCAACACGAAACTGAATAAATTAACAGTTAATTCACCGGAAAAAGAGAGTGTATCTTAATCTTATATTAAGCCTGTTCAGATGGGTTTTATTGCTACGCAGTTTTATGCTGGAATAGAGTGAGAATGAAAATGGATAAAATTGTATTACTATTTCCATGTTTAGTAATTATTTGGGATATTAAATAATTTTTATTGAAATGGAATAAAAATTGAATTTTTTTTTAATAGTCTGGAATGAAATCTAACAATAATCATATTTTTAACATCTCCCATATAATAAGTACACCTATTAGTTTTAACCTGAAAAACAAGATAAAATTCAAAATTCCTACACTCATATTTTAGTTCGTTGGCAAAAATAACAAACAAAACATGAGAGAAAAAAAATTTCACTAATATTTTTTGAAGAAAAGGTGACTTAAAATTTTCTACGTAAACGCCTAATTTTAATCGAATAAATATTTTCTCAAGAAAGGAAATATTTTTCTTTCGAAGTTAGATTTTAATTTATTAAATTACCTACAAATTCAATGGAATTTAAAATACATACAATCATAAAATATCAAAATACCTAAAAAAACAATCATAATTTGATTCCAACTCCAAACTTTAATAAATAGAAATTGACATATAAATAAAATTTTTACATATCAAATCAACATAAATTATTCAGTTTAATAAAGCCCATTGTGCATCACTTGCTTTGTCACTTATAGCCATTCAATTTAACTTATTGTTGCCATCCAATTTAGAAGAACTGCTTCGGTCTATCCTAGATCACGTAGAGCAGGAGCGGGAGTGAGAGCGAAAGTGATAAAATTCACAAAAATCTAAGAGCATAAGTGCTTTGAGAGCGTAATATTTTATATATACATGTATGCATACAAACAAAAAAAACTATATTTGAAAGTTCAATTTTAGGCACAACATAAATATGGGACAGATTCCATATTTTTTCCAAATTCACGAGTTCTCAAAAGTGTCATTTCATCTATCTTTAATCATTGTTAATAATGGAGCGATAAGTGATTGACGATGGGGCCAGGGTTTGGGAGGCTGGTAAACAAGGGGGGAGAATTCCATGGAATTAGATGGAGTGATCCTTAGTGGGAATCAAACAGGTTATGCTGTTTTAAGAAAGAGAGTAACCTGTTTTGTTTGCGTTTGTTAGAGAGAGAGAGAGAGAGAGAGCGCAGGGGAGAGGGGGGGGGGGGGGGGGAGCGAGGTGGCAAAAA